AGTCAAGTTGTTACTGGTACGGTACTTTGAATCGTCCACTTTTCCAATCCAAACAAATTACACCAATTAGATTTTTCTTGGGTTTACCCTTGCTGCATTCATTGCAATGTCTTGTTCGATATGGGTCCCATACAACATATTGTATATAGGTGTAAATAATATTGATTCTTTAAACAAAATCTGAGCTGTAATGCTTTAATTTGATTTCAGTATCGTTGTATACTACGTATATATTTATATTTCATATTGAAGCCTTTTGTTGGAACAGGGCTTAAATTTGATGCCCATGCACAAACAAAAGGTGTAAATTCTTGCACACTAGAGGGCTGATTACAATATCATACAAGATTTCCCGGCAAAATTCCAATGGTATTTGAATGGGATTAACTGTTATCCCGAATTTTGGACAAATTAGAAGAAAAAAACTCTAAACATCTTTGAACCATGTGGGTTTTGTTGACTACTGAGCAAATAATTTCTCACGAAAACTTACTCTGTTTTTGAAATGTGTATGTTATCCGAATCACGAAATTTATTGGGGGACCTAACAAATATTATATTAAAATATGACATGAAATTGTAATAACAGCATAACCTTTGATGCAGCAGTTCACTCTCATCTAATTCAAAAACTATTGCAAAGATACCCTTCAAAGAGTCAAACATGCTCTTCACAATTCCCCTCCCCCCAAAAAAATTTATTTTGGCCTTGAAATTAGGTGCCCTCAGAATAAGTTCAAGCTTTGAAGCCCTTCAGTAAATATGCTTATCAGTTTAAAATAGTGATGATTGTACAGTTTTCCTTCCCAGTCTCATTATCTCTACTTTCTCATTGATATCACTTTCTTCTTTTTAAGATTAATGGCGCTGTAGAGTATAAATCAGTAAATGTGATACCATGCAACTAATTAGAAATCATTTACCATTTAAGGTTGTGTTAGATAAACACAAATGCTGAATGACATAAGTAAACCTTAAAAGTATAATAATATAAGGTTATTACGAGGATACCTCAAAGTATGCATGTAGACAGTACAGCGGGTCGATGCGACAGTGTACTGTCTGAGTGCATACTTTGAGGTATCTTCGTAATAACCTTATTATTATACATCTTTTCCTTTCAAGGATACATCATGGGAATGCCGAAATTCAAAAAGTTTAGAACAGAATCAGTGAAATTCTTTGTGTGGAGTCCGGTCAAACCCTGGTGGCAGCCATGTTTTTATTATTAGATGACGCTTACGCGCATAATCATTCCATATTTAGAATTCGCATTTCCTAATATGATAGGATGAAAATACCCCGTATAATACTGCAAAATTACGGCACGCTGTAACTTATGGCGTTATGGTGACAGGTGTATAATAATAATATTTATTAATTCTTAATATCTCTCGGAGAACAAAACAAATGGTCATACATGTACACCACATAAAAAATACAAAACACTTGTAATACCCTCAACTCATTCAAGACAGTCACTGTCTGGTATTAAGACTGGCCTTAATAAACTGAGCTATGGGAAGTGACATACATTTGTTGCTCATAATGAAAATGAATTTGTCATTCTCACTACTGATTCTAAAATTATTTACTAGTATATAAATTGATGATTTGTTAAATAAATGCAGTCTATGTGTTCTGTGATATGACCAAGATCTGATTGAAAGTGAAAGATTCGCAAGGCTTGCCCTTGTTTTTAAAATAGTATCTAACTCTTTCCTGCCATTGTCTACTTCTCCTTTGATCTATGTAATAACCATAGTTAATGGTAGAGAAAGGACTCTTTGAAGAGCAAAAACATGCTAAATTGAATGTTCGATGGGTCAAAGGAATGTTCTTCAGTGATGATTGTTCTGATCTGTGGTCAGTTACTGTACTGTATTTGCTCTAATACTAGCGTAAAATCTGTGTTAGAAGCCACATCCCTAATAGAAGTCGCACCCATTCTTTGTGAATAATTGAGTACCAAAAATTCATCATTTCTCATATGTGTAGATGCTCTATTAAAAGCCGCGCACCCCCTCTATATAACATTGTGCCATTTTAATGGAAGCCATGGTTTCTAATACAGATTTTACAGTAGTACATGCACTTATAGATGTAGACAAGATGTATCCATTTTCAAAGTTTATTTTAATGATTCAACATCCAATTAATACAATTTTGGGTTTTCGTACACTTGCGAGAGCTGTACATTTAATAGTGCAAATACAGTATTCTAAATGACGTTACCAATTTTAACATTGCAGCTGTGATTGACATTGCTTTCAACCTTGGCATCTACGTCATTTCTATGTCATGAAAATGCTTTGTTGCTAGAGGAATTAAAGGGGAACTGCTCAATCCCATGGATTGCACCAAAGAATCGTGGGACACTATTGTTTATGTTGTTTACAATGTTAATCTATCTTTTGTTATCCATTATTTTAATCCAGAAAGTAAATTTGTTATGAGATAAGGCTCAAGTGGAAGGTGCCCCTTTAACTTGTGTATAACGTGTGTTTGTGTGTGTGTGTTTATATATATATATATATATATATATATATATAAATATATATATATAAATAAACTTATTGGTAATGTGTACTGTATTTTCCACAAGTCAAGAAAATAACTATGCTAATTTCTTTTATCAGTATCAATTTATGGCAAATCTGTTTCCATGGATATAATAAATTTATTTATTACTCTGAATTTGTCAGTATTCTTTAAATAACTAGTGGAGAAAAAAAAATGATTAAAAAATCAATCACCCCAAATTAATTGTGGCTTGTGATTGAAGATAAAGTATGTAGCATGAAGACCTGATACCTTACCTCAATGCTCATATTTCGCTAGACTACTGAATAATCACAAACTTGAGTCATTTTTAGCAAGTTATGTGAGACAACTATTCTATGTATTATTAGACTTGGTGTATTATCTACAATAGACAAGGCTTGCTGCCTTGGGGATTGGTATTACTTAGTAAGACTACTTAAGTTTGTGGTTTTTCAATTGAGTTGGATTACATCATATTTTTTTGTCTGTTGACTGAAGAAGCAAGCTGTATTTATTTACGCATTGACCACTAGAAACTCTGAAGGGGGCAAGTTTTTTTTTAGTGCTGTGGTCTACTCAGAAAACATTTAAAAACAAATTTGCAGGGGAAATTTAAGAGAAAACAAAACAAAATACAGCAACGTTTTAAGAAAAAAAAATATTAGCCTAGAACATTGCACCATCTTTTAGTCGTCTTATTTGCTGTTGTATCGACGAGTATTCTCTTGAACCGTGGCTTCACAGTTTCCAGGATTGCACCAGAGTGTCACAGAACATGTAATTTAAATGGTTTGCCCATCATTTGCTATATGTATAACAAACGTTATGTATCAAAGGTGTTAATCTCCTGTGAAAGGCCAACACCAATTTACACTTTATTTTCTAGTTTCTAGTTGAATAAAGTAATGGGTGTATACAAATAGTGTATTATTTATTCATGACTTAGCATACTGATTGTTGATGTCTTGTTCACAAATTTCAAATCTTGTTGATGGGCATTAACTTTCCATTGAATGGAAACTGTGTCTTCACATGAAAATAGTGGCTTGTCATTTCAGTAAATAATTAATGCTTCAATCTAGAGTAGCAAGTAAACCTTGATTTGGCTAATATAGTGGCAACAATATCTTTGTAAGAAAGATCATATTGATGATTCCCAGGATGAAATTCACACACACCATGAAAATCTATACTCAAAGAGTGAGTTACATCACGATCCCCTAAACATTGCCTGGACCAATTCGAACAAGAATAGGCAATGAATTTTAGGATTAACACCTTTGTCTTCCCCCACGCTAACAAAAAAATCTTTTGTCTTCTACTGACTTCCAGTCCAGTGACATCTTTACTTGTGTCATGGTTTATTGTTTATATTGAACCTCAGGTCTTTTCAAGTTTGGTTGTGTGAACAGCTCCCAATAAGCTCAGGTCAAGTCATTTTTTTGTTATATTTAGCAAAAATGCATAGTTACTAAAAATAGCCCAATTAGTTTTTTAAAAATAGTGGTGTTCCACAGTAATGAACTTGTACTGTATTTGTTACTTGCAGTGCATGCACTTATGACTTATAAAAATCAGTAAGCATGTATGTGTGGTATAAAACCAATCAGCAGAGAGTAGTGTTCTACAGTAAAACTGAGTAATGAACGTGGTACTGTATTTGCTGATTAAATTTCACTAGAGCCAAATTTCGTGAGGTGGGGGCAAACTACAAAACAGTGATAATTAATTTTGGATTAGTAATTAGTCAACTGTGACTTTCAAAGTTTATTCTCACAAATGCTTATCTAATTATCATTTTGAGAAAATTAAAAGCAGTGAAAAATTTAAGCTATTTTCACCTGTATTTTATTTCTCTAGTTTTTCTGCTAAAAACAAAGTAATTAAAAATAAGTTCTCAATCTCTGGAAGTACATCTAAAAGGCTTGAAATGAAGCTGCTGGTCTGGAAGACTCTCTGCATAATGATGTTGGAATAATACAGTTACTGATAATTTTTTAATTTCCAAAGCTCAGCATTATATGTATTGTATAGCTACTAACACCATATGGTACATTTATAAGCTGATTTGGAATTTCAACTGCTTTGCAAGTGCAGAATTGTTAATCAGCTTGTTGGTATGGCATGGAAAGCACCCTAGTACTATAGATATTGTAATACCCTGCATACTGTATCCAGATAGTGGCTTTTTTCCAACATACTAAGTACTCAAGTGCCCTTCAATAATTAAATACCGACTACTAAGATATCAAGCTGGTAATCTGGCACGTGAAACTGCCATTGTGTACTGTCTGTGATGTGGCAGTGAGCATTTCACAGAACTGTTAAAATATACTGTGTTAAGAGTCCCTGTGGATGTGAACCAATTAACACTAAGCTAGGGAGTTTGTTGCAGGTATTTTGTTCCATCTATCAGGTCTCATTGTCTTTTTTTTCTTCTCTCATTATGTAATCAGAGTTGCCTGTACAGTGCTACCAACATGCAGTCTTGAGTTCCCACTCTGTCTCATCGCTCTCGCCATTGGATATATATTATACAGAGATTTTCTACACTGCCAGTTTCCCTCAACGTGGGCTTGACTTATCTATGGCGGACTGTGACAAGTTTTCAGAGGCAACTGTAAGTTTGTATGCCATGCTTGAGTGTTTTCTTTCATGTGTGTTTTGTAATGCTGATTGAAGTCATTAAGGGTCAAACTAGTGTGTTATTATAGTGCAGTAGCTGGGTTGAGAGTGGAGCAAACATTGTACCAGTGTACAAACTATGACACGAATTTCCTACTTTATTTCAATCAACATAATTCTCTTGGGTGTGATTAAAGTCACTGGTAATTAAAATTAATGATCACTCCAGCATAAATCTGTGATTACCCACAACCGTGTACAGCAGTCCCTGGCATACAGTTAAAAGCTAATGTTATGCAGGGAAAAAAAAGGGATGCACATTTCAAAATTGATTGGTAACATATTGTTGTTTAAATTTCCCTTGTCGACTATCTTAGGTATCTTCCTATTATATGGATGTGCTATATTTTGATGAACTGATCTACTACATTGGGTACTCTAAAATAAGTAAAATCAATTTTCTGCTATATTTAATTTCCATGTGGAATTGCGTATAGATCTGTATATAGTTTGATAGCAGTATGACATCACTGTATACAGTATCTGATTTTGATCATTATAAATCCACTATGTAGTTTCTTTATTTGAGGGCAAGCACATCTGTTGCATTTAAATTTAATTAGGGGTTGGTGCCAACATATTTGATATGGTCATGAAAAAAAAATATCTCGAGTAATATGAAAATTAATCCATATTAATTTCATATTTGATGTATATTTTTATCAACCTTAGAGCATGTAAAGACGCATCTCGAATCCACCTCTTTTAAACATGAATCTATTTATCTGAAGAGTTGTGCATGTCCCTGATGAAAACAAATCATTCAATTGAAACAGTGGGTTTTCCCTTTTATACATCAGCCTTGTTCTCATGATTTTATTGGATTCGGTATGACGTTTGTAATTAAAAAATTAATTTAAATTTTACTGACTGTTGGGAAAAACATGTGCAGACAAATTAAGTTGATTATAAATACTTTATCTCAGGAGTTCAGAGTGTATCTTTTTGATTCACTGTGTCACACATGTACATTTTTAAACTGGGTAAACATAAACCATACTGATAAGGCACATAAAAAAAATAATTGTGTTTCTGCTCACCTCGCATCTGTTAAAAACATGCACATCATGGCTTTAATTTTTAGGTTTTTTTTGGTCAGAATTTTAGAAAGATAAAAAAAATAAAACGTTTTCATAAAATATGTCTACTACCGTATTTCAGAAACAATAAAAT